AAGGCCGGCCTGGTGCCGCCGTGCTCCCCGCCACCGGCGCCCAAGGTGGGGACGGAGAACTCGAAACCCCGTCCGAGGGTAGGGAGAGTGTGTCCCTGCCCTGGAAGTCGTGCAGGAGGCTGCGGCTGAGGGGGAGCTGGAAGGCGGCCGGGGGCGTGGTGGGCCCGTGCACCGTGCGGCCCTGGTGAGTGGCCTGACCCGCCGGGCCCTTTTCCAGATGCTTGGAGCAAGGCGACTTGGTTACCCTGCTTGATTTCTGCTCCCGCAGGTCTCCTGCCTCGAAGGCTGTGAGCGAAGAGATAGCTTTGAAAAAGGCCATGGTTTTTTTACACAATGCTCTTGGGCACGTGCGACGCGGGAAGAAAAAAAACCGGGGGTTTTACTGTCAAAATGAAATCAGATCCCTGCTGCTTCCTCTTCCCACATTGCTGGATTCAAAAGCACTCACTTTTGCCTCATCATTGCCTCATTTTGCAACCAAAAATATAAATGTTCGGTGGATATACACATGAATGGAGAGACGCTTTTTCGAAACAGAAGGCTGGCAATGCAGGGACCTGGGTTCTGCAAACCACCACACAGGTCCCTTCAGCTGCAGGATGAGGGTACAGGCTAGTGGTTAGAGCACAGCATCTGCTTGAGCCCTGGCTCGTGTGGACTGCATTCAAGAGCGGGTCTCAGGTCTGCTGTGCAGCTGTGGAGTGGGACACAGAGGCCTGGAGAGCGTGAATGTGTGTGGAAGATGTCCGGGTTCATGAGCTCCCCAGGGGTGCAGCTGTGCTCTGCTCTGTGAGGGGATCCCTGCCTTGATGATTTGTACTGCCTTTCAGGGATGAGGGAAGGGAACCTGAGCAACTATAAGAAAAGGGATGTTTTCCACTGCAGCATGGTCTTAGCTTCTCCCTCCAGTCTCCCCTTTTTTCCAGGGCAAGAAGAGACAACCAGCATCTGAAAAGAATTTGCTGCTCTTTGGAGGTCAGTGTAGACTCCACTGTGTTGCTCCATTGCAAATTTTCCTGGTAAAAACAGGCTAAGAGCATCACAGCATGGCAGTATGGAACTCATCCGTTCCCATCCACCACGCAGTTGTGGATACTGCCCATGGAGCACTTCTACAGCAATTTGGCTTCCCAGGCTGCATCTCTACTATGACCTTTCACTGGTTCCAGTAGGGCTCTGAGCTGGAAAGCCCCTCTCAGAGGGACACATTTGCAGCTACTTCGGGTGAATGTAGGACCCATAGATTGAAGACGTATCTACAGAAATGCCTGCTGTTAGGCTGAGACTCTGGCCCCCTTAGGCTGCCCACTCTGACATAGAGGCACTGTGAAATCTCTCCAGGAGGCCTGGGCAGTCAAGGGCTCTCACCACTGCCCCAGGCAAGTGGTTGGTCTTCCAGGATCACAGTGGGGTGCCTGCAGCTCTCCTGTGCATGTAAATTTGCAGGCCTGGAGGGAGATTTTCAACTGAGACACATCCCTCTTCTATCTCTTCTTGGGTGCTGGAGAGTCTTCTGCCTCTGTCTCTCCTCAGCACTGTCAGAGCCTGATAAGCATCCCCTAGAGCTGAAGGATCTGGAGTCCCTGCTGAAGGTGAGTCTGCTGTGCTGATGCTCCTAAGGCCACTGAAGCCATTGTTTACTTTCTGGCTGACTGTCCCCTCCGGGTTTGCATTGCTAAGAGGCCTTTCCATCTTCCATTTGGTTGTCCCTGAGAAAACAAACTCCTTTACCCCATGTTGTCTGACTGCTGCAGATCTGCTGTAGATGCCAAGTTAGGGTATACAGCTACTCTGGTCAGGTTACAAGTACTTCAGGACAAAGGGCAAACCAAGAGATTACAGAGCCTACAGAGAAAGTCGGCTTGTGCTTGTGCTGCTGGGTAAGTCACACACCCTGAATATTTTTACTGCATAGTCCTTCTGGCATTCATCATGCTGTGAGGATTACATCTGTGACAGTGATATTCATAATGACTGCTCTGCCATATGCTGCACCAACACACAAGTCTGGCCAGTGTCATGGCCAGCATTTTCTTACAAAACTTGCTTTGCACTGGTATGTCCTCCTACACATCCCCACTCCATCTAAAGGGAATTCCTGCTGCAGCTGAACAGGTTTTATCGGTAGTAAGACAGGCAAGAGGTGGGAGTGTAGATGGCTTCTGATTTACAACCTAGGTAGTTTTTTTTGCAAAGAAAACAACACTTTTTAGTTTTTTCCCTCTAAATTTTGGGAACCATTTATGGTAGAGCTGAAAACATTCTGTTCTCCATCATTGTGCCTCTACTTCTCTCCTTCCTGGACAATAATTGTTCACAGCCCACATCTCCTCAAGGCAATATCCTTTCTGGGAACTGACTTCAAAAGAGGAGACTCAAGTGAATGTGAGCAAAAGGAACTGACCTTCAATCCCCTGATTTTCTTGAGGAGAAGAAAATTCACTAGAGAGTTTCCCACTGTTTTAGCTAGAAGTTACTGGATAAGGATTTCTGGCAGTAGGTCCTGCCCTTCCTAATTTAAATCCAGGAGGTAACTGAAGAGTTACCAATGCTCTCTGGTAGTAGCAACAGCACAGTCATCTTAAGGTACAAGAGATAGTGTGTTTACAGAATCATAACAGTAGATCAGGACAACAGTGTAGTCTTCTCTTGAATGGAAATATTAACAGACATTTTCAAGCACAGAGAGGCTTCCCTCTTCCTGTCATTTTATCTGCAAAAATATGTAGAATCTTAAACTGTTTCCAGGAGCCTGAGATGGACTAAATCTGTCAATGGATTGAGATGTCTCCTTGTGTACATGATCTTGCAGTGGTGTATTTCTTATCTGCACTAATGCAGATCATGAAACAACTCTGGCCATTGTCTCTCCAGAAACTTCCCCAGGAAACCCAGAGATGGAATTAGGAGGATGACGTGCACTGTGAGCCTATTCATCTCATTCTCACTCCTGCCATTCTCTAGGAACATTTTCTACCTGAGCCTTTCTCCCCCAGCACAGTGGCATCCAGAGCAAGAGGAATTCCCTTTCCGCCCCTTCTCAAGACCTTGTGGGGCTGCTGCCCTCCCAGGGCCTTCCACAGGAGCAGACAGCCAAGCTTGGGAGTGGCCACACCCCTTCGTAGCGTGTGCACCAAGGCCAAGAGGGCATTTCTGGGGAGAGACTCAACAAAGCTGGGCCTGTCAGCCAGGGGCTCTGGTGGAATCATGGATGCCTTCCTCGCCTGCAAGTGACAGTTCCTGAAGGGGGCCCTCAGCAATGTGCCCCACCCTCCTCTCCTTTGAGAATGGTGAAGGCTCTCCATGGGCCCCATGCACCCCTAACTTCTCCAGAGAAATGCCCTTTCTTTTGAATTGTATGTGTTTGGAGTGTACACAGAGGGAAGGACCACCCAGTAACAGTGAACAATCTTTGTGTTAACAAGGAGCGCACAATGATCCCCAAATAGCGCCTCCCAGAACCACCGCTAAGCAACATATTTCTACCTGAGCATCTTGGGAGAGTGTCTGCAGGGGAAAAGATGACACAAAGGCGTGGGCTGGGATGCAGCAGAACTTTAATGAGTCAAAAGAGGGAAACAGGGACACCCTGAGGGGAGGTCCCAGTGCAGGAAGCACCAGGGACAGAAAGGAGTCTGCACCCCATGGCTGGGGCAGAGATCGCATCAGATGCCCATCTGCCTGCCCCACAGAGGGAGCAGGGGGGGTGGAGATCCCAGCAGGTGCCCTTCTGCGTGCCCCAAAGAGGGAGCAGTACGAGCAGGTCCTCCCTAGGCTGGTTTTGTGGGTCTCATAGCCCATGGGAGCACAAGAGAAGAACATGGCAGGGAAAGGAGAGCACAAGGAAATAAGGACATAGGAGGGAAAGGAGAGAGTGGAAGAGAGGAAAGTCAGTCATGAGCTGTGCTTTCCAAGAGCCCAGGCTGGACCTGAACTTTTGCAGGTAGTGCTGGGCTTGCTCAGCCCCGTACTTTCCGAGAGGACAGGCCGTCCCTGTACTTTTGCAGGTGGCGCTGGGCTTGCTCAGCCCCTCTGGAAGCAACAAGCTGATGCTCCGTCCCCAGTCCGGTACGTGGGGGATGTGGGGTCTTCCCCGGGGCCATCGTCAGCAGCTTTAGCAGGGGAGGAAAAAAAGCTGCCAAGGCTGGAGAGTCCGAAGCCCCCAGAGTTGATGGGCACTCCCTCAGAGCTGAGGATGCTGCCAACGGCAGCGGAGGTGGAGGAGCCCACGGCGGTGTTCTGCGGGAAGGAGCTGAGGATGGGTCCGGGCAGGGTCACCACCACGGGGGAGGGCTGGATGAAGACATTGGAGTCCTGGCACTGCCTGACACAGGGCTCGTTGCAGCTGTTGGCCAGTGGGGTCGGGCCGCAGGGCTGGCATGGCAGGCAGGGGTTGTAGCAGGACATGTCTTGAGGCTGGAGGTGCACCTGGGAGAGAAGGCAGGGGGAAGCAGAGTAAGGGAGATGGGCAAGGAGTATCCTGTCACCCCACCACAAGGAAGCCAAGGCACATGGTGGGTGGGGAGCAGAATGCTGCTCAGAGGAGTAGAGAAAGAGCTTCAGACTCACCTGATCCTCAAGGAGAAAGAGGTGAGAGAAGTGGATGAAAGACTGGCTATTTGTGCTGGCTTTTATAGTGCTCCAGGACTGCCCCAGGTGTGCAGTCATGCTCTATACAGGCAGTAATTTTCTAACATACTCTCTAATTGAAGACATCCCAGCCAATGGCACGGGCTCTTTTGATTTTCCATAGTTCAGTGCTTTCAGTGATTTATGCCATGGCCATTTCCCTTTGAGCCTCCTTTCAAGTGCTGAGATGAGAGACCCAAGGATTTTCAGGTCAGGAATGCATCATTATGGGCTGAAGACCTGACCCAGTTGCTGGATAGAGATCCAGTGGAGGCAAGTAACAGTGACCTGAGATTTTCTGGTTGGGTTGTTTGTCATCCTATTTAAAATAAAGGGTCCAGCATACTCTGATGGTCACCGGTCTTCATTGCAGTGGGTGGGCTGCACTGCTCATTTTGAATCTCCTCTTCCTGATGCTCTTGCTTTTGGGACAAATCTGCCAGTCTGTTTTGCCATTTCCTCTCTCTGAGCAATCTCTTAGCGTCTCCAACCAATGCTTCGAGCATATTAGGATTATTTCTCTGTCCAATCTATGTGCAAACAACATCTGTGTAGCTTCACATATATGCATGCATATATGTTTTCTCACTTGTGTGTCTGTATTCATTCTTGTATCAAAAGAATTTGTTTTCCCTAGTGTCTGGGTACGTATGCATGCTTAAGTGTGTGCATGCACACAGGTGCCCCGCCTATATCTGCTCCTCATGAGGAGATGTGCTGATCATGGCAGAGGCGCTCTCTGCTCCTCTATACATGAGCAGCAGGTTCCACAGGCCAAAAGAAGCCCAGTGGCAGCTGAGCAGCAGTGCCATGGACCTGGCAGAGACCTGCCCTGGGCGCTGGCACTGAAACACAACCCATGTTTCCTGCATTCTTCTTTTCATGCTCCACCAAAGTTCATGGTCTGCACTGCAGATTTCAGAGCCTAGCGAGGACAGTTTCACACCAGTTTGGAAACACAGTTTAATTCAGCGTATCAGCATTCAAAGTGTCTTAGCATGACTGTCAGTCACCATTCCCTGCCTCTCCAGATCAGGATACATCTTCTCCTCCCAGTGTTAAGGAGTTCAAAACAATAGGGTTGGCTTTATGTACAGGACGAAAAGCCAGGAAATCCTGCCCACCTCATGAAGGGCACCCCTGAGTGAATCTGCTTCTGTTGCAGTGTTGACCTTGTCCAGCATGGGACATAGACCCCTTGTGTCCAAGTCTAAAGCCATGGGCACCTCTGCAGCTAATTGGCCTGACACTGAGTCAGGCAGGGGCTGAGACCTTGAGTATCCAAACACAAGGACAGATGACCTAGTGTCACTGTGCTTTGAGAGGAAGAACAGACCGTCTAGTCTGCAAAGGGAGAGCTAAACAGCTGACGACTCATTTGGTGTTCAGCCACACAGAGCTTTTATGTCCCATGCTGAAATCCTATTCTTCCAGGAACTGCCTGAGAGGGAAGGATTGTCTGAGTCACACTCCCCAAATGCTCCTGCTATCCTATGAGGAGTGTCAGGAGGAGAACT